AGTGTCGTGTAGTGTCGTGTAGTGTCGTGTAGTGTCGTGTCGTGTCGTGTCGACGTTTTCTCATAAATTTTCGATATTGACCATATTGCCATTTTAAAAGCATTTACAAATTGTTATTGTTGATTTCTATGATGGAGATTTTATGTTATTTCAAACTGTAGACTGGTAACAGGGTGAACCAATTGTATATCGTGACTGGCTGTGTACTTACAATCCAGAATTATTATTTCAGTAGATTTTTTCCCTGTGGTATTCTTCTAAAAGAAACAATTTTTGATTAATACGTCTTTAATTCTCTTGAAATACGAAACCGTAACACACAATTCTACTGTTTCACGTTACCATGTTGCTATCAGGGGGGAATTCCTCTCCTCTAGGGTTCCCCACACGTGCCAGGGGGGAATATCGTCTCGTTTCTCTATCGCGTCCCCTTGAGGTACGGGATCGGGAAAGTCACTTAAGCTTTACAGTCAAATAAGACACACACAACGAAATACGTTTCAACTCTCGTCTTAGTCGGTCAATCGAGCACTCTATAAGACACAGCGCCCTGGGAAAAAGTCCCCAAGACTATCGCAAGGCTGACCCAAGACTATCCCAAGACTGGACTGCCTCAAGGCTCGCCCCAAGACTCTCCAGGACTGGACTGCGTCTGTCCTTGTGTGCTCGCCAAGACCAACTAAAAACAACTTTATTCATTTTCAAAACTCTAACCAATTACAAAACAGTAAAAAGACTCTAAGGCGTAACCTTCAATCACACAGCCAATCACACTAAGTACTGAATACGTCATATCTTTTGATTAATCGTTCACTACAGTAATAACTACGAATACTAACTGTCAGAAATAGTAGTCCGAAAAGCGACGGTTATATCATCGTAATTAGTTCCAAATCACTGAGTCGAGTTCCGTCCAAAACGTCAAATGGCCTAAACGGTGCCAGACATAACACAGCCATTCAGCTAATGATCAACTAATTAAGTCGATCAACAGATACGCAAAACAATCAACGTTTCACAAGGTGGTAATGTGTGAGACACATTTGTGTTCAGGAGAGTAAATAAACACTTGGTAAAATTCGTTAGTACCTTCCATGGTAAAATAAACACACATGTAATGTTTCAAGGTAAAACACCCGACTATGCATGTTTTATAAGGTTTATGTATACGACATGATAATGAGAGTAACTAAACACTTATCTCCAAATTGTTTTATTTTGAAGCACCCCCTAAAACAACACACATACAATGTTTCAACATAAAACACCCGACTATATAAGTGTTCATATACAAGACACTTTAGTATGCCGTCTACGGTATGCATCTATAATGTACACAGTACATATTATCGACTGTATGCAGCATAATTATTAGAAAAAAAAGCTCACACACGTAACCATTGTCAACAGACATACTGTGCATGTATCGATAAATTTATTGATTTTAGTATTTTCAATAATAAAATGCTTCATATATTCATATAGTTTGCGAGAGTGTATATCTTGTATGTGTCACAAGTTGAATAATCAATAGAGTTAAACATGTACGTTGACCCAGCACTAGACAGGCGTTAATTCACTGTGATCTTATTCATTTTCTTTATAGCTTTTATTCTATTGGTGGTTCCTCAATTTTGAATTCCATTTAACATGGCGATTACCACATACCTGTGCAAATTTGCGTCTAATTTAAACCAGCTTCTCTAAGTCTCTAATAATACATAACCATTTTACAGTTATCTACAAATTTCATTATTACAATAAATACAAAATGAAAAAAAACATTGAACAATAATTTCGTTTGCTACATTTACATTTAAGAAGCAACAACAACTTGAACCGAATGATGCCTTGTTCTGAGGAAAGAAGGGAACCGGAAGTTATCCGTTAAGTTAAATAAGCCTAAATATAT